CGGTGACAGGTCAGGCAGCCGCCAATAGGAAGCCTTAGATTTGCATGCTCCGCGAAGGCTTCTGGGAGAGAAACTTAGTTCTAAAAACTGCTAACGTTTTTCGTAGTCTTGGTGTATTTTCGACCGATCATGTTTGTTGCGCAGGGAAAGAAGTTTTCATTTTACAGTTTATCAAATTTTCAGCTTGCGCGGAATCACCCTAGCAGAAAGATAAACAGTATCTTGACCTTTAAATATCCGCCGCGGCCCAGGGCCTTTCTGGATGTGAGGGCGATCTGGCTGCGACATCTGTCACCCCATTGATCGCCAGGGTTGATTCGGCTGATCTGGCTGGCTAGGCGGGTGTCCCCTTCCTCCCTCACCGCTCCATGTGCGTCCCTCCCGAAGCTGCGCGCTCGGTCGAAGAGGACGACCTTCCCCGATAGAGACGTACCGTTCATCGGTCAAGGGTATACGGTAGCTGCGCTCCCCTGCTAGAACCTCCAAACAAGCTCAAGGTCCATTTGTAGGAGAACGTAGGGTAGTCAAGCTTCCAAGACTGCAGACACATCCAAGTGAGGCGCTGCACGTGGCAGTCTGCCATTCTTTTTAGGCAGGCTCGGCCTATAAACAAAGCCTCCCCGATGCATGGAAGAAGGTGTTTAATGCTTTTATTACCTTGTTGCTTTAGTTGACAATTTTATTGATAATTTAATAACGAATAAATACTAATTGAAAATACAACAGGGATATTAAATAGGAGCTTCCTGATTAACAGAAATCCCTTCTTGCATAGTACTTGTTTGTGTTCTTATTCTGCACTATACGTTCTTTTTTGGAGATGGGAACGTAGCAAATTCTAATTAATTTTAATTAACATTCTTCCAGTCATTGCTGGTCTCCCTCAGTTTATCCATCTATGAATTCCTGAGTCCCCCCACTGTACAGACAAGATGGTTATAATGTAGAATACTTAAATAAAAGCAAGAGTACTTTCTGGAAAAATACATTAAAATACAATTAACATCTAGTTCTTCCCCTGCACAATTAATTTCAAGGCTGCCTAAACAGACAGCAAAAAGGCAGGATGTGTTCGTTACCAGTTGTCTTCCGCTTCTATTATCTTGAGAGCGGGGGGAGAAGGTTGAGGAGAGATGACACAAGACATTATGGACAATTGTATCCTTCTTCCAAGGTGTTATGCATCTTTTATTTTAATTCAGGGTTTCTCTTAACTTCAGAGAAGTTGCCATCCAAGGACTAATCTGGTAGGATTATACAAAGCTCACAACATACTGCATAAGTTACATGTTTAGACTCAAACCACATGGCCAATGACCTTGCAAAAAGGCAAGTCTCAACAGCACAGCTTACAGAGAGGTACTACACGTCTGAGAAGAAACCAATTTTTTTGTTTGTTTGTTTTCAGGGCTTTTTTTTTTTTTTTGGCTCTTTTTTACAAACTAAAAGACTGTTTTCAAAAATAATGAACGAAAGTTCAACACTCTAGTCAGTAATTCTTCAAGAGTAACTTTATTCTGACACAGAAGTACTGAAACAAACACTCATAACATTTTTTGAACAAAAACACTGAATAAACAAGAACTGTTATTTCTTTAAGATCTTTTTTTGCCATGACAGTTCCATCCTCTCTTTCCACATAAGCTCAGAGATTTCTTTCAATAAATACTTTCCTCTCTACTTTACGGATCATCCTTTTCACAGCCTTACTAGACATGCAAAATACCATGGAAATGGCTTTTCTAGGGTTCTTTTTTGGCTAACATCATGGCACTCGCACAAGACTTAAGAAAACCTGGGTTATAGAGGTGAATGAGTCCAATGTCAGGCCCCTTCATTTCCAACAGTCATTAAATGCTATGCATAAGCCTGAGAAAATGTAAACAGATTTCTAAAAACCATTTTGCATAAGGATGCTGCTGAATATTAAGACAAAGTAGTAGGTTACATACAATAAACTCTCAGATAGGCTGCTTTTGTCCAGATTTCAGTACAATAAACAGACTAACGCCTTTTCCACCTGTATTGCACACTGAGAAAGCACATTAAAATACGTAGCTCACTTAAGTTAGTCCTTATTCAAACAGAACTTTTCAATTTCATCAGGAATTTGCTTGAGTAAAAAGACTACAAAGAGAGTGTTGCCATTACACTTCCCACTTAGCAACTTTTCCCTGCCACCAAATCAAATCTAAAACTAGAATAGGTGATTTTGAATGTCAAGATTATTAGCTTTTTTCCAAAATAAAGGTTTTAATTTGGGAAAGGGGTAGAAATATCAAACAACCTAATTACTTTTTTTTTTTTTTTTTTAATGCTTTTGCTGAACTAACCCAAAACCTGAACACTACATGCAAGGAAATCACTGCAGGGCTGATTAAGGTTCAGAGAGTTCAAGTCAGGTCCAGATTCATCCTCTATCACTTCAGTGATGGGAACTATTCCACAGATGCAGCAGAGAGACCCAGGCACCTCCAGAGGGCTATTAAGTTCTCAGGTGAACTGAATCTCTCATGGGGCAGTTCCCACTCAGCCCTGCCCAGACAGAGCACAACAAACAGGCTTATGCCTGCTAGGATGAATCCAAGCCACCACAACGCAGCCTTATCACCTGTCTCCCACTTCCATTAGTAGGAGTTAAGCGCGTGAAAGACTACTTAAATGATCTACTTAGGTCAAGGGCAGGGTCAGGGTTTTCCCACTTAGGACCAATTCTCCAGTGAGAAAATAAATTGACATCTAGACATAAATACAGATATTTATTTCCGTCAAGAGAAAAACTGTCTGTCTCGTTCTAACACAAATACACGTATTTCCTTTTCTGCTTGCCCAAATACACCGTTAGTGCGTGCTTTAGAATCCAGCATCGCTGTTCTAGTTTATTGCTAGCTACACAGTGGTGTCCCTGCTTTGGAGGCAGTTTGGAATCGTTATCGTTTGGATTTAGTGTTTGTTACAAAAAAAATAATTGGGGAAGGTGGACACAGAACATACCCTTGGTACGTACATGTCCTAGATGCACGTTCCTTCTCATGTTTAAACCCTCCCGCTCCTTTTCTGCCATGTACAGGAGAGCACTGTCTCACTGTGGAGCCCATACAAACAACCTGCCCCTCACGCTTCCTTCTAGTACTGAGCCAGCAGCTGACTCTGAAGTACAGTCTCCTCTGGCCCCACACGTTCTCCGTGGAAAGTACTGAAAAAGGTCAGGGCACGTTACCAATCTCCAGCCCACAGCAGCTGCCACTTGCAGATGCGGCAGATCCCACCAGGAGGAGCTCACCAACAGACTTGCCATCCAGCTCCTTCAGAAGAGCCGGACAGAGAACCACACCTACCCCGATCCCCTTGCACTGGATCCTAGTCTCATGGATTTTTAAGATTTGTCTGATCTGTTCATGAGGAGAAACTCAGATGAGGTTTCCAAAAGGTGAGCATTTCCGAACACTTCTGCGGGAAGATGCATTTTTACAAAACACTTCAGCTTTGCTGGCGCTGTTTCAAAACACAGCTGTAAGGGAAGATGCTGCCCCCCACAGCACTGTGTTTTATACACAGGCTTAATTTTCTATGGAAGCAGGTGCAAGAACGCCCAAACGCTGACTGCGATCTAAATTTACCTTTTGCCAATGGCTGAACTCTGGCAAGCCTTTCCAGCACAGAACTAACCCAGCCTGCAGGGCCACTTCCCTACTCATTCCTTTTCTCTTTTAAACCCGGTTACTTACTTCTCCCTTCAAAGAATTGTATCAGTTTCAGTGAAATCAATTAAATTCAATTTTAGAATGGCATATTAATCTTTGCAAGTGAAGTACTGAAGTGAAGAACTGAAGTAAGCTTAAGCTTACTCATTTGCAGCAGCAGGAACATGTGAAAATTAAGTCAACTGCATAGATACTATTTCCTTAAACTCTGCTGCTGGCTATCACTAATACTTATCTTTACCTGTGAAACCAGCTTTGTCATAGCCAATACTGTCTTAAATATGTCTTCAGAGCCTATATTCCCTTTAAAAAAACAACTGTTTCTTCTCCTTAGAAGTCATTAGGAAATATTAAAATAAATTGAATAGAAGTATTTATATCCAATAAATTGAATAGAAGTTCTATTTCATGGTGAACAATGCCAGGAAGCAACTTTGAAGCAGGACAAATAAATGTTATGTCAGAAAACAGATCTATTGAATACCCGTCACCAAAGAGAAGATTCCCTCAAATTTGGCAAAAGCAAAACACAGGCTGAATGCAGCCAATTTAACAGTATAGTCTGTTTCTGCTGCTCTCTTTCAGGCCAAACTCCCATTAACCCCCAATGGGAACTGAGAACGGGGCTGGAAAGCTAGACAGCAGTCCAACAAAAGCCTTGTAAAGGCAAAAATAAATACCCTCAAAAAGTCTCCCACTGACTTGGGACTTTCATCAGTCTCTCACTGACTACAAAGGAAAGTACTTCCAGTCACTGCTGTGATGTCAGTATGAAGCAAATGAATAGATGACAACGGCAGCATGGCATCAAGATGAGGCTGTAATAATTTCAGTAATGCCACATTCAGCACACAATCTTCAGAAGATGTCCGATGAACGCCCCTTCCTCAACACTGTTCTTTCACTGCAATATTGCACTGCTTTGCTTTTTTTTTTTTTTTTTTTTTTTTTTTTTTTTTTTTACCCATTTTCATTAAAAAAGTTGAATCTAATAAAGGAAAAAGTTAAAATTTTAAAAAGTTCATTATAAAAATTTACCACATAAAAATGCCAACCCCCCTAAGCCATATATACAAAATGTATCAGATTTATGAAAATAACTGGACCCAATTATATAACAATTTTGTACAAAAAGGTACAAGACCGCATTTATATTAATACAAATAAGAGTAAAAAACTTCAAAGTGTCTCACTCATAGAGGATCCGTTTCTTTTAAATTTGCAGGTTTACTAAATGATATCAAGTTGTCTCATGTTAGTCACCATTTCATGGGAAATATGCACTGGTTCAGAGAGTATTTCCGTACGTCACCGGTGAGCACCATACTTTGAAGACCAGTCAATACGCCCGTGGATTGGCTGAGCTGGTGGTGGAAGAGGCATTAGCCTTGGTGTGCTTTTTGAAGGTGAATTAAATGATGGTCGTCCAAGACAGGGTCCTACTGACTTCAAAGAAGCACAGTCTACGAGATAAAAGAAAATATGAGGATATAAAGGTTCAATGAATATCTATCCACATTAAAAAATAACTGGATGCAGGACTATAACCTTGTTTCTTCAAGGGAGAAGCCTCTTTTTTGAGCAGGATTTGCTGATGTGAAACAACAGTGGATTCAACCCCTAAAACCTTCTCAGACTATCTAAGTAGCAACAAATGAGTTAGTGTACATCCTTATGCTTCTGCTGTGAATTCTGTGCCAACTCTCCATTGAAATACACTGTCCATAAATCTAAATAATTAATCAAAGTAAAACTAAACCTACTCCTTACTCAAAAAGTTCTGAAAGGTCATGGTGTGCAGCCCTAGTCACTCGACTACGTGCAGATAAAGTAAAACAAAAGTATGTAGTTCAGTGCTGCATATACACAGCATTACTAGAGAACTGAGAAAGAGACCAAGACAACTTTAGTACAATACTTACTAGAAGATGGATCCACAATTGGTGCTAACTGAACCCTCTGCCCAGCAGAGCCTACTTCCTTCTTCAGAAATGAAGGGATATAACCGCTAGTTAGGCCGCTTGATCCTACGGGCCCTAAAAGAAACGGCAAGGAACACTTGACATCAACACAATGGATCTCTCATACTATCAAAGCTTGTTACAGGTCTACTGACAGCGGTTGACAAATGTGTGCATCGGTGGGTCATGCTCAAGATCAAGCCAGATTACGGACTTATAAAAACAAGTACTCCACTGAAGTCACTAGAAGTCTGTTAACCCTTTATGCCTGCATTCAGGAGACTGGCAACATCAGACTACTATAAAGACAAATGGAAAACAGGTATAAATCGCACCTCCAGAGGGTTAATTTCTGCTTCTCCCCAACAGTCTCAGAAATAAGCTAGCACTTTTTTTTAAGCAAGGTTTCTTAGAACTTTCAAGACTTGGCATTTAGCTGGAATTTTTTGGTCTGACTTTCAGCAACTGGGTTCTGTGAGTGCAGTCAGTCTTGCTGTCTAAGCCAGATGCAGTGGGTCTGCGGCTCTGACGCTAGACAAGCTCTTTCAGAAGCCAGTAAGAGTGACACTTACTGAATGGGGACAAAAATCATGTTTCAAATTAGTCAAGTCAGTTATAAAACCTGCCCTAAAATGAGTAGGAGCAGACTTGTCCTGTAAGGAGATCTGTAAGGAGATCTGTAAGACTGAAGACAAAAAGTATTATAAATACAATAGCCTAGAGTCATAGCACAGATGGACACTTGTAAAACTAAACAAGTTAACATGCACAGACCTATGGCATATATTTCTATAATGTAATAGAGCAGTAGCAAAGCATATTGTGGGAACTAATGACAAGTTAAAAAAGGAAAAATCTAATATTATCCTATGCGTCTACAGAAGAAGCAGTAACTTATGAAAGAGCCGGAAAGGAAACGTATGCTAGGTATATAAACGTATGCTAGGTATATAAAGGTTATCACGTAGTTTAGTCATGTACAATATCCTCCCATCTTGGATCTTTCCTTAAAGATATTCTGATTAAGTTAGATCCTAAATTTTCACATTTTTAAAAATAAAGTTTCTAAGGGCCCAAACCGCTTCTTCTGGCCAAGAATCAACAGAAACTTTTTCATCTTCATAGCAACACATGCAAAACAAAAACTGCACTGCAGAATTCCAACACCACATGAAAACCCAAAGCCAAAAGAGATTAGAGAGGGAACAAATAGCTACAATTTAGAAACATCAAGATGTTTAAGTACGTCTGATTAAATCCAGTGTAAACGTGTACAAATTATTTACTTCCAATCACGTAATAGGAATTAAATACCTGAAATACGAAATGCCAAAAAAAAAAAACTGAAGAAAAATTAAGAAGTTTTGCTTTCTGTCTGAATTCTTTAAAGCTACAATTATTCCACTATTTTAAACGGTAAGCAATTAAAAGACATCTCATGACAGATTTTTTCAAATGGTAAGAGTCATAATTTCCCCTCCCCCCCCTCAATTCAGGTCAGCTTTCCCCTTTTGTGACAGTAATTTACACAGCAGCTGGGTTAAAAGAATTTGTAAGTCATATTTCAGGTTTCCAAAAACTGACAAAGGAAATTAAAGGCTACTGGGAGTATTTCAAGCTGAATAGACCTAAGCTGACCATCCTTCTATGCATGCGGTACTTCAAACAAGATTTTTTGGAAGTCATTAGAGGAAATGACTATATGTCAGTTTAAGTTAATCCCCAGCTCCAAGGAACGTTGCTCTTTACAGGTTTTGATGGAAAGAACAGATACAATAGCAAATATGTTTGCAGATGACAATGCGTTAGAAATGGGTGACCCAAAATACAGCTGACTGGAATTGTAAAGACACCACTTATTAGTTTTTCTTACAGTGTTAAGCACAGCTTCTTACCCGAATTCATCCTGTTGACACTTCCTCCCAAACCTGAAGCTTTCCCAGGCAAACCAGAACTAGACCAGTGATTAGATGGAACAGACTCTTTGTTTGAAGTGGAGACTATGCTATTCCTTGTGCTTATTCCTAGAGCAAAAATGAAGAAGCAAGTCTATCATCCGAAATCTCTGCTGTTATACAAGCTTGCATGCGTTCAATCTGATGCACAATCTTAGAGCAGTTGTTCAGTTCAGTGAACTTTAACTAAAAATTTTTCACTCTACCATGCTGCCTCTGCATTACTTTCCACTCTCTCATACATACTGCTGTGACCATCCTTAGGCCCTGTTCCTGCAAGGATACTGGTGTAAAGAGTTCCACTAGCCTCAACAGCTAGCTGTTTATGTTGGGGCAGGACCCTTACATCAGGACCAGAAATACTCTGAAGTCACAGAAGGTGACCCTTGCTACATAAGGGAAAATTATGTTTCCTGTTAAACTCATCATGCCACAAACTTTAACCTAACAGTGACAAAATACTTTTGAGACTGAATAACAGTAATTACATTTCTTATAATTCTCACATTCTTCTTGGGTGCCTCTACTGAAATCAAGGAAAGTTTTCCACGCAGATTTTGCGAGCAGCTTGCAGTAGAGTTCATATGTCACATATTATTTGCATTTGATATATGTATTATATTTAAGCAGAGTATCTAGCACGGAAGGATGCGCTCACAGTTTGTGGTAAAGCAAAAGCAGACTTGGGATCATTGGGTTTTACAACCTTCTTCAGTCACACAACTATTAGCTACCAAAACTCTACTTCAATGGTCCGGTTTTGAAAGTGTCTGAAATGGTAAATATTACAGCTACATTCCACTTGTGTTTCAGAAAAAAGACTAACACTCAGTCCATCCTCACATTCCCTTCCTGTTAACTTAATTTCAGAGTGTTCACACACTAAGTCAATGAATGGCTAACAGTGGCTTTACAAATAAAAATTACGAAAGAGGATACATTTATGGACAGCTCATCTTCAGCACACGGAGCTACGCTCCCCACCTCCTGCACTAGATAGAGCCCGTGCTGCTGTCAATATAGCAGCGGTTAACAGGACTACAGGCATGCGACTCCTCTACAGGGACACGGAGTTGTATTCTGCTTGACTCCAAGCCACAGCAAAGCGTATTCCCACTAGCTATCACATAGCATTTGCTGTTCACGGTACTGTATATTCATGAGGTAAACTGAGGGCATTTTTGTCCTTTCCCAGGCTAGGCGGCCAGTCTTACCCTTCTTCGGGAAGCAGGGAATAGCTTGGCACATTAATGGACATTTTCTAACACACTTAGAAGCATAAAAGAGCACCTGGTATAAAGAAGAAACGCCAAGAATCTTTTTTAAATCCTCCTTACAAGAAAAAGATTAACCTCAGTTTCTAGCCTGCTAAAATCTGCTTTGTATTATGGTCATTTACACTCGCAGAAAAGCTCTTGCTTCCTTCATTTTCCTTAAGCAGCAGTCCTCCTCTACAAGCTCAAAGGAGGAAGCTTAATGTATTAATGATTCATTGGAATTACAGGAAGAAAAAGAAACATATTTTTACTAACCAGGCAGATACCTAGAATGTCTCAAGTAGTGCTGCTTTGCTGCAGAAACTCGCAACGTGGGAGTGTCCTGGCGTGGAAGAGTAGCATGCGAAGGTGCACTGTTGCCAGAACCCACAGCATCCGAAGGCTTCAGGTCCAAAATGCTTTCAAACCTATAACCCAAAAATTGCGCTATGCTATAAGTGTTGGACTAAGCATATGTTTATCCACAGTTGGCCTTCTTTCCTCCATCCCATCTCCAGGGATCATTTCCTCATATTGTGCTTGCTATAGCAAAAACATTCAGATAACAGGAAATATTTTCAGCACTGAAGCCATTTAAGCACTCCTGAAAAGTCAGATTTGAGTCTCTAGTCCCTTTATAAATTGCTTTGTAAGTTTGTCTACTGTGTGTGATCCACTGAAAGTGCAGCTTAGTCTCATCCAAAACAGTTTAAATGTGTGGAATATGTTAAAATAGTTCATACATGAAGTAGAAAACATATAATCAGAGATTCATTTGGGAAGATTTAAGCTAAGCATGATTTTCAGAGGGGAAAATGGCTATGAAATTGTATAGAAAGATGCTTAGTCTATGAAAGAATATGTTGCTATCAGAAGGGTCAGCATGAAAGCACCAAGAAACCAAGACAAACTAGAAAAGAGAACAACTGTGTCCCCTTCACTAGCCTGGACATGTTTCTAGATATGTAGAGATCATAAAGAGCAAAGACTATGGAAAAAAAAAATAAGAGGAGAAGCTTAAAGAAATGACACCAAACAGCATGCTAACACAGAGAAAACTTACCTACAAAGAGCTTCATTACTCTGCCTCTTCTTGTTTTTCAAGTCAGCTCTCGTAAGGGAAGAGCTGAAATCAAGATCTTCCAAGTCATCCCAGGCTTCAGAACTCCTCAGTGTTCTAGCAAGATGTCCCCATCTTCGCCTAGTTTTTGGCTGAAGTTCACCGTTTATGTTTTCGGCCCCACCAGATATTTTCTGTTATAATGATTAAAAAGAAACAACCCCCCCACACACCACAGACAAAAGGATATATGATAAGAGTAAACAGAGGGCTGCTTTTTTTTTTTTTTAAATCTCCAAGAATAAGAGTGATAATAGAATTGTAACAATTGAAATCTAACCTTTATTTAACATAATCTAAGAACACAATCTATAGCCTCTAGTCATTACTACTATCTTCTGCATTTCATCCTGTATTGAAATAGCTTGCATCAACAGGAGAAGTTTCTTACGTCTCATTTCCAATTCTATTGGTCTTTCACTATATAACTTCCAAAAAATTACGTCATACGTGATTTTACTTTTCAACCCATCTCGTGAGTGCAAAACTGCATGCATGCTCCTGTTTCCACAAGCCTAAGCCTAGGCATTTTTAAAATGTATTTTTTCTACAGGACACTGAAGGTGCAAATTTGGGTCTCTTCAGCCATTTAAGTGCATTTGTACACTTCAGCTTTGCACCATTTGGTATATGTCTGGTACACACCCTATTTAAGGCTTGTCTCAGCAGAAGAATTCACACTATTTTATTCATCAGTCTTAGAAATTCCAGTCTCCTTGCACAGTCAACAGAAATAGTAAGTTCTTACTCTGAAGGAAAAAGTCTGTTGCTCTCCATTGCCTGTGGAAGAGCCCAAAGAGACTAGTCTCCTTATTCATTTAAATTAGATGCCTTAAATGGACTAAGGGAATAGCCCTGTCATTTCAAAACTACTTAGCCTAATACTCTTTTCCCTGGAATTAATCTCATTAACATTCTGACCACTCAACATCAATCTACTCATGTAAAATCAGTGTCATCCTTTAAGTCTGCTTTACAATAAAAGGACACCTAAAATGGCTTTGAAGCAAGAAATAGACCTGCTTGTTTTACAGCAATGAGACTGAGATTTCAGAGTAATTTCCAGTTTATAGCTATTCTTTATTCCCATTTCCTGTCTATTTAGTAAAGCACAAGGACTTACGCAAGAGAACAGGAAAAAAAGAATGCAATTAATTACAGATGACGCAACACATTCCAAAGTATATCTTATGCTACATTGACCTTTACCTGCTGAGGGACCTTATTATGAATGGCAGGCAGCAGCACCTGGTTAGACTTGTCCTCCCGTAAATGGTTACTGCGATCAGCTCCAGAGCTGTCCGTCTTATACGGATATATCAAATGCTGAGAAGGCTGGCTTTGCTGAAACGGCCTTGATGAAACGCGCGTGTGGGGTTTCGGAGGTGGTTGTGCTGGAGGGACAGGTTTAATATGATGTAGAGCTGGTTTATCATGGAGTTCCTTCTGTTTTCCCAATTCCTGAATGCCCAGGGAATGTCCAACCTGGAAGTATGGGTATCGAAGCGCCTAAAACATAATGAAAACATCAGGATTCAACTTCGGAAAGCAAAGGTTCTACCTTACTCTAGCCCTGAGGAACAGTACAACTTAATTTTCCTTTTCCAGGGATAGGAAACAGAGATAACACCAGATTGTAGTGAGCACAACCCACTCCAGAATTAGTCAATAGTGCTGTAATAGTACAAAAGTCCCAATGGATACCAAGTTATTAGATGCCCTGCTGACTTACAGAAAAGGAAAATGCTCCCCAGAATTGAAGAAACTTAACTAGAGGTCTGCCCCAATCAAAGACACATTTCACTTTGTAAGGTGGATGGTATATAAACACATGCACACCTGTCATCACAGCATCAGAAATCAAGACTGGAATGACCCCAGAGAGCTCATCTCTTCCGTTCGCCAGCCTCAAGACTGCATGAAGTGAAATAAACATAGTCTTATGAAAATTGGTCTCTTCTTTGGAAGATAAGTTGGTAAAAATATCTTTGTCCTGCTTTACAGGTAATTAAGTACTTTTGAGTAAAGGCAATGCATCTTTGCCCATCTTACTGCTTCAGATATACTCATTATGCCTTCCCAAAGAGCTCTCATCCTAAAAAGTTTCTAAAAGCTCAGATTTATTTCTGTATTTGGACCTTACTGGAAAACAGATGTTAAGTACTGTTTACCAATGGCTCTTAATACTAAGTTATATTCACAGTTTTGTTCTTCCTTACCTTTGAAGGTTGTTCTTCCATTTCACCTGCTTTTACCTGCTTACAGTTTGCGCTAAAGATCTGATACAACCACAGAGGTTCAAATGAAGTCAAGTACTGGTACTGCCACAGGTACTGAACAAGTCACATTCGAGCCCAAAGTCACAGCTGGTTTCAGAAGGTGTCCTACTTGTTTCATTAGTTGAGTGCTATCTCTGTAGTACTGACATCTAAAATGAGTAGCTACTGCCACCAACATTAACGAAATCATTATACCTGTAATATTCATGACCCGCGATATCTTTATTTATGGGTTGTTGGGATACGTTTACAGTGCAATCAAGTTGAGATTGCCGTGCAAACCGTCCTGCATAAGCTGGTTTTATCCATGCAAAATATGGATCAATAGCAATGACAGAACGATATCACAGCTTCAACATGGGCTATTCTCCATACATCCTACCTCTACTCTGTTCTCGTTCACAAAGACTAGGTTATATGTAATTCAGACATACAAACTGCAGTCAAGCCTCTGATCATTTGATCATTGAGGACATATCCCACACAACTGATGTTGCTAGCAATGACTTGATTATTCCCCTGTGATTACTCCCCTTTATCTTGCAAAGTGTTCTTGGCTTCTGCTCATTTCCTAAATCAGCACCTTTTCCTAAGAATTGGGTCCCTGAGCAACCACGAAATGACAGCCTATACCACTCAACACAAGTCACTTTAGAGTCACATGCAGAACGAGGAAACAAACAAAAAAAGAAAACAAAAGAAACCCCAAACCTGACTAGCTGTCGGCCGCTTTTTGGGGTCCCATTGCAGCATGTCTCTCATGAGCTGCACTGCTTCACTGCTGGCATTAGGTATGAGGGTTTTTAGGTTGTTAGGCACACACTGAGGCCAGCGAAAACTCATGGAAGACGCAAGCTGGTAGCCTTCAGGCCAGTCGTTCTGGAAGAAAGAGATTACCGATCACAAAGCTCAAGTGCAAAATATCATAGCTCCTAAGTACACTAGCACATATTTTCTTATCAATAGGAGATTTCACCCAGCTATCCCAGACTACTCTACAGATTTCACCAGACCTCAAAATTCTAGGTGGAGGTAAAACACTTGCTTTACATCTGACCAAGTGAAAGTCACAAATGAGATCAGGAGCTAGGAGCCTTGTCACGCTTCCAATATCTAGCCACTTAAACCCAAATAAACATTAACGTCGAAGAAAAAAAAGAAATTCCACTGTCAAAATAAATCTCACACTAATGACTTGTTTTACTGTCCAGGGGTACATTTCTCCTCTCCTCCTCTAATCTTCGGTTTTTAAAGTATAATTATATAACGCTCATTTCACTGGAAAATAAGTTTTAATATATTTTATCAGATCTGAGATCAATGCCATACAATAACAGTAAGTGTGAAAATTGATAATCTAAGTGCCATGCTGTACCGTAGAACGGCTGTGCTGTGACTGCAGTGTGAAATGGGCACTGTAGCTACCTTCTTTGGTGTCCCCAAGACTTGGCAAATCTTGAATATAGTATCAATTTCACTGGCGCCTGGGAAAAGAGGCCGCAGCGTGTAAACTTCCGCCATTATACAACCAACAGCCCAGATATCTATTGGAGAACTATAGCTGGTGGATCTCAGAAGGACTTCAGGAGCCCTATACCTGTAAAAGAAAGAAAGGAAAAAAAAAAAAAAAAAAACCTAGAAACAAATCCCAATAATCAACACAATTCAGAGTCATATACGAAACCATTCGGATCTTCATTCTACGCTAAGGGCAAACATCCCTGGAAATGCTCTCATCTTCTCCTACCCAACATGCAAGAATTAGTTCCTGGTTTTAGAATTAAGAATTAAAAACTATGTAAGCTCTTGTAAGCTGTCTTATGAGAGCGCGGACACGCAGCATTCCAGCGTGTCCCACCTGCCTTGTCAGGAACCCTCTTTGTTCCTATGCTACCGCCATTTGTAGTCTGTCTTGCACTAACTTAAGCTTTTCAAATTAGCTAAGCTTAAATGAAAGTTTCATAAAGGGGAGGTGTCAAAAGCGTTATTATATTCAGCACAAACTTAACACGTAACTTCTTTAAAGGCTTGATTACGAGATGTGCAATTTACACAACGTATGTGAATACCCGCACTTACCATCTTGTGGATACATAATCAGTGTAAGGAGGTCTAGATCGGATTTCTCGGGCTAAGCCAAAGTCTGCTATTTTCACAAGTTCTGGTCCCATGCAAAGGAGGTTTTCAGGTTTCAAGTCTCTGTGAAAAAAACCTAAAATTCAAATGAAACATTGATGTGCATTGCAACGTCACGTGTAGCTGTAGCCTTTATCTTCCGCCTGGATTCTTTTGCTTCACTTCTTATTGCTAACGTTTGAATAGCATAACACAGAAGTTCAAAGTCTTACATAATCAATAGAGCTAGTCAGTGTAATAATTGTTTTGTCAGATCGAAGAAGAGTATACACAAGTTGACCATTTTATAACAATTCAGAGCATTCAGTTAGATAGCATTCTTTCAAGTGACACTGCCTTAGAAGAAAGTTAAACTTATATCATTTTAAGACTAGTTTTGTTCTAATTGTGTTGGAAACTGTGCAATGAATCAAAGTATTTGTTCTTTTAAACAAACTAGAAATAAAAATAAATGAGGCAGATTTTCATTTTTTTGCACTTTAAAGTTTTTTTAATTTTTTAAAAAATGAGCTGGAAACTCATGCAATGAAAGCTGTTTGCCACTGAGACGTATTATTATAAGTGTATCTTAAAAAGAATGTGCATTTCATACTTGTATCTCTGTGTACCTTCAGGGGAAAGAAGAGAATGTTATTCTTTATGCCCAGTCTCTGGGATCCCCTAAGTCTATCAAGAAATAGGTGCTCGTTAACATCAGATGAGTTTTAGAAAGTGGCCGGCACCTGGTTTTAGAGAGTGGAAGTCTACTGAATAGGAACTAAGCAAATATCCAAACTAAAATATCAGATAGCTAAAAAATATGGACACCTCCTCTCTAACGATCTACTCAGTATTTTCTGTAATCTGAAACTCTACCATAGTACTATTCTTTTGATCCCTCCCTTTATTAAAGGCACTAACGTATTTGTTAACGTATTCATTTAAAAATTCATATGGATACTACTGTGCTAAAACTGAAAGTGTTTACAGCTAAAAGCCTACCATGCTTATGGATAAATGCAAGTCCTTGCAGGATCTGATACATAATATTCCTAACTGTAGATTCTGGAAACAGTTTGTTTCTGTAGGAAAAAAAAAGAGGAGGAAATAAATGTTAATTATTAACACATCAGCTTATGCAATCTCACGAACGAAAGGTTAAACCTAATAATGACAAAAAAAAAAAGTAGCCTTTTTATTATTAGTTTATTTATCCAGCAAAACTTAGGTAGTTTGTAGAACTGCTGTATTGTGTTTGTTAGACTATGGGGGACAGTGAGTTAACAAACAAACAAAAAAACAAAACCCCCCCCAACAACAACCAATAAATTGGTGAACTGAACACACCTCAAAACGAAACAGGCATCGGGAATGTTGCTCAAGACAACAAGGGTTCATGTTAATTAGGTGTTTTTCTTCTTGTATAGTTTCTTCTGTGCGTTTCCTCTTTTCTTCTAAAGACATCTACAGACCAAATATTTGACTTTCCCTCGTTATTACCTAACAGCTCTTTCTCTTTTGTTTTCTGAAAAACAATCTCCCTTGCCTCCTGTGACAAGAGGCTCTTCTCCTTATAATACTTAGGCAAGGAGATCAGTGACAGCAGGAGCTTTTACGACAGCCTTTTTCTGGGTTAAACAACCCTGTACCAGATGCCTCTGCACATTCAAGAACACACCAGAGAGGATTTTGTAGAGATCAGTGACAATTTTAATCAGAAAGAGCCTAACAGTGAATGAAGAAGGAGGCCTGAGCCTTTTTCAATTTCCTGAACTTGATTCCTCCAAAAAGAAGAAAAAAAAAAAAAGAACTGATCACCACATATTTCACAAGTGAGATCAGAGACTAAAGTCAGATTTTTGTACTTGCTTGCTTGTTTTTTAAGCTGCAGCAGAAAAAGAACCAAGTTTCCTCTCAGTCCCTTCCAACAAGACAGGCAATTTTAACTAAGACTTAAACAAATAAATCGCATTTTTAAAAGTTAACTTACAGAATGTCTAATTAGTTTGAGCTTATCCAAACTGTACCAAATACGATATATAGCATAGTTTCACAGGCATCTGCCTTTCTAATTTTCATAAGTAGAATATAGCAAGCATTTCTAAGCAATTTTGTGATAAATCCTAAAGATAAACTGGCTTGTATGTTATAAACTGGAAAAATTTTCTCAAATCCATCATTTCATATAATTAACAATCAGCATTTAAATCTATGCGCAGAATTTAGTGAAAGCTGTTCTATACTTGTGCGTGTATAATAAGTATTTATATGCCTAAAAAGGCATTTTACAAAGTATTCAGAGATGTACTGTAATAAATCTTGGCTAAATAAAGTCAGATTATTCTCTTCTCCTAGATTTCTAGGTCCAGAGAAACTAAAAGCCTTCTTCAGAGAACACTTCAAAGCGGGGACCTATTTCACCCTTGATTATACATTTGAGGATCCTGTCATCATCCAAAGGCTAAAATTAAGGCTTAAGTAAAATTCAGACTTTATTAACACCCCAGTTAATATCAAAGAGCTAGATTTTACTGAGAATGTTAACAAATAAAATAGACAGGCTTTGGACACCTCGGCTCAAATTGTGCAGAAAAAAATCCTAGAAACAATCTAGAATTAGGCTCCCCAGAAATAGTACTTCAAACTTTTTCCTTCCTTCTCTTTTTGAAGCAATGATATGGGAATAGATAGCGATACCTGCCTCTTTCAGAAAAAGCGCTGGTGGTTTGAGCACCTACCCAGAAATCAAAAGGTCTAAGTTCAATGCCTCTGCAGCCTAAGAGGTGTTAAAGCCCACAATTCCTAACTCTTAAAAGAGTACCCAGCCAGGCTAATCTGGGAAGAGATACGGGAAACTCTTTTCCAGCACGGTTTTAGTATGAAAGTGGGGAAGATTAGCTCAAAGGTGACAACCACAGCTCTTACTGTAGCACATAGTTTTAAGCTATAGCGATCTTAACCTGAACAGATGACAAAATCCTTTGAGAAGTAACAGGTATATTAAAAATAAGGAGAATGAGCACATTACAGAAGTATTCATTTACTGCAGGAACGGGTGATGCTCTTACATACCTTTCTTTCATTAACTGATAAAGGTTTTCCTTCATGTATTCAAACACAAAATAGAGATGATCGTTTTCCCTGATTACTTCTTTCAGTTTTACTACATTGGCGTGGTTCAATTTCTTCAAAGACTAGAAGTAGAGAATATCAACAAGATTTTACAAGAAAAAAAAAAACAACACTATTTCACTGATGCAGAAGACTTGTCTTCAAAACTTATTTAATTTTTAAAAATAATCAGACAGCTCTGAGAAAAAAGACCAGATTTTCAAATATTAGCTGTTACATATACAGTATATATGTAAAATGCACTGATGGTCTTTCAAAGGCCAGCTATCTAGCACTGTAGCAGGTACCAAAATAATTGCATTTTCTCTCTGTGTAACTTCCCACTGGCAGACTTCACATTCTTCTTGTACTCATACTGGTGATAGCCAGGTTAGAATCTGGACAATATAAAAATAATAAAAATAAAATCTGGAAATTCTCCCCCAGGTCTTCATTCCTCCCTCTTTTTAGACTTTCAGTGTGGTGTTCTTTCATTCTTGCTGTAGCTACAGAGTAAGAACAGAGTACATGGCACTGCAAGAAAAGTGACCTGGGGCTTTCTGCATCTGTTTACAACAGTGATAGCAAGCACTGGAAATTAAGGGAGATCATTAAAGCACATACCTAAAGCTTTCTTGCTGGCAGAACTTCATGCTAAAATGTTTCTCCAAACCAATCACCCATAAACAAAAACAACTGCATATGCAGGGGTTATTGTTGAGTAAAGGGCATGTGTTCTCATGCCCTAAAAAGCACGCAACAAAGCAACTCCAGGCTTTGCAATAGGAAAGCTATTGTATTTTGTATTCTGCCAAGAGATACTCTCTCACCACCTCCCGTGAGAAGGAAGCAGCTCTCCACAACCAAATGATTTTTTTTTTTTTTGAATACAACTACAAAATAGCACCTGATTCAAACACAAAGCCAGGAAACAGAACTGTTAGTGACATATTCCACAGCTCATTCTGGGGGGACTTCTTGATACAAGGGGTAGAAAGGCAGAGAGGACTTTTCTAATTTAGTTTTTAAGTCAATCATTGAATGAAACAAGTACCTTAACTTCTCGAAGGTTCATGCATTCCTCCCAGGAGTAAAACTTTCTCTTCATTCTAAAACAGTAGAGAGAAAAACAGTAATTTATGGTCAGCATCAGCTACAGTCCGAGATCCACAAGTCTCATCATAGCTTAGTGATTCAGTTTCACTATCTAAATATAAGGAGACATGATATTTCCCTTGTCAAAAAAATTTCATGTCTCTAGATAAGGTACACTCTAGTAGAATTAAGTAGTACTTAGGATTGTATTATTTCACACATTTTGCAAAAAGGTCAGATCCTTTAACCAGGCAGGACACGCTATTTTTCATTCCAGTATACAACCTGGTGGGCTAGAGTCTAATCATAAGAAGTACAAGAGTGACAACAGTTATCAACAAATTAGATTAAATTTTGAAACAAATCCGAAGATGACTAAAGTCAAATTAAATTGCTTCATTTGGTCTGCAATTTCAGCACATTCTTCCTGCTCCTCTCCTTTTTATCTTGAATTCTTTGTAATTTCTATAGCTTTCTCCTGTATATTTGCATTTCTTCAGTTCTCTGTGCTCCGTATGTTTCTCTCCGTCTTGCTTGTTACACCTATGGTGCCAATTGCTTTTCAAATTCTCCCTCTGCTTTCAAGCTATTAAGAAACACTGCTCTAAAGGGAACAAACAGTTTGGTGGACAGGGCATTTTTTTTCCCCCCCCAAGCCAGAACGTGAACATAGTATTTATGTGTAAAGTGTGGTTATATTTGTTCAAACTCCATTTATTTTGAAAGTTCACAGGACTCAGTTCTTACACACACAGTTCTATGCTTTAGGACAGACAGAACCAGAGCTTGTGTACGTACATATGTACAAACGCACACACACAGATTAAACTTACAAGAATACTTGACTGCTTAGAGTCTGGATTTCAGTGGGAGGCAACTTCTGAAGATCTGAGTCTTTACCTAACTTTAGTAAAAAAATCAGTATTACTTTTTATTGTAGGAATTTTCCTATTTGAAATCTGCTCTGACTGAGTATCTTAAGACTGACACTGTCTTTTATTTCATGGAGAGTTTTGGATTTTTTTTGGTTTAAGTTGGGTTCTTCGCAATTACTGTCTTATGCTTTCTGCTACCACTTCATGTTTGTTCTAAACAACGGATTGGCATTGAAACATAAACTAAACAAGTACCTTCTTCCACTGCATTGGTTTGTTCTGAAAATGTAAGTTTTCACCACGATGCAAAAAGAAAATCAAGAGAGTCTCTAGTCAGGTTTGGAGGAATAGGAAAAATATCCTCAGCACGGAGGATTTAGAAAGGCACTGAAGCGAGCTACTGAACGCTCATACAAAACAACATTGTACTGAACATTCTTTCGACAAGTATGTCCCTGGGTCATAGCTGGTATTTCAGGAAAGGGCCTGCAAAACTTCATGGCTGTCTCTTACCATAATAAGGACAAGTTTGCCATTTATAAATTGAGGTCGCTGCTGAAGCAGCAGAGAAGGAATGAGAAAATGAAATGGATTTCTCAAGGAATTTAAACAAAAACTTAACCTCAAGAGAGCAGTATGTGTTGAAATGTGAAGACACAGATAACGGACAATGAGATCCACTGCGTTAAGTATTGCTGCAGTACTAACACCATATAGGAAATTAGACCATGAAATATATGTTCCATTTAAGCAGCAGGGAAGGGGCTGCAGATCCCAAAACATCACTGCCAAATACAGTATATAATACAGATAACGCACATTTGATTGCATGTATTATCTGAGTGCTATTATGCTAAGTCTATATATCTCACCCTCTATTTTCTGCGTGGCTTTGGAGGATACAAGAAACTCCTGCTAGGGGCAGCACGCAAAGCTCAACCCTGACATGTATGCTGCATGCAATTCAAAGTACACAAGCCAGCACGACCAAGAAATGCAGACCACAGAACGGAAAACTCTGGACTACACCCTGCTAAGCAATAAGCAAAGATACTTACTTTTTAATGGCTATTAGCTCCCCAGATTCAATGCTTCTCCCTAGGAGGACAGAGCCGTAGGTCCCATCACCAAGCTGTCTGATAGTCGTGTACCTATTCATGATGAGGAAGCTTTAGCTGCAAGCACATTTCAGTCCTTAGTGTTTCTTGTGTTTCTCCTCCGAGTGTAGCCAGTTCTTTCTGTGGCAGCATAAATACAGAGCACTCAGGACAGTGTGAACTGCAGGAATCATGTTTTCAAGCCTCAGTCTTTGGTCTGAAAGCACAGAACATAATCCATTTGATTTCCGTACCCTTTTGAGATTGCTTGTTTGCAGTCTCCATTCTCCTCCAAGAGACAGTTCTTTTGAGCTATACACAAACACTTGTCTTGATTTCCTATCAGGAACGAGCCAGACACTGGCCCTATCTGGATGTAGCCGGGCACATTCCTTTTTACACCAGAGGCGCTTTATAGGAAGCATATAGGCAGCTCTAACGGGAAATACCGTTACTGGAAGCAGAGGATGAAATCTCACAGCTTAAAAAAAATTGTCTGTTGTCAGAAAAGTGAAGCAGTCTAATAAGATAGCAGAGCATCTGCTCTAGCCAAATTATCAGATACGTAAGTCAACCACCTCACAGATCATACTGCAATCAAGGTAAAATAAACCAGTTTTCCTGACTTTCAAGAGGCCTCTGTGCCAGAGACACAGCCATATGTATTCCCTTAAGCGGAATCTCTATATTATATATAAGAATACTACACTCATGTCAGATAAGACAAAATGTATTTCAGGACAGCAGTCCTGAAGCTCTCTCTAGGAATAACAGATATATCAGACTATCAGATCATTTGTCCTGACACTGCACGAACAACAGAATGCTAGACATAAAGCAAGAAAGTGCTTGTTCACTCAATTAATCTAATTGCTGCTAATATTTCATATGCTTTACATCAGGTCTGTTAGAAGGAACAAATGCGGCCTATGCTGTATAAATTAATCACACACTTGAAATAAAGTCGAATTCCCCTGCAGTTAGGGGTTGATTCTTGCTTTCCTCCTTCTCCAATACTGCAAGGACAACAATATCCACACCTAGTGACTTTTTGTCTTGTGTGTACTGTATTTCAGGTACACTTCAACATTTTTCTGTTGGAACCTTAAACCCTTGCCTCTATCTTGCCTTGTTTGGCAAAGCCAAATCACAGTTTTAGAAGTAATGGGACGTTACTTGAACTTCATAATTGACATAGACGCAGAGGCACAATTCTGTTGATGGAAACAGAGCTGCCAAACATACTATACTGTCAACTGAAGGTACCAGGAGTGTAAAGATTCCCCTTTTCCAGTTTTCTAAGCCTATTAGTTCCGTTACTACTGATACGGCAACAAATAAACAAACAAACAAAAAACCCTAGGAAATATGATGTCAAAATACCATTTGTCAATTGTATACATCATGTGTGAAAAAGAAATAACACGTCTCTCGCATTTAAACAGTGGGAAGTATCCTCTAGTAGTACCAATTTCTCTCCACATGCTACAAAGAACTATGGTTGAGTAGCCTAAACTAGAGCCCCAATACCGCTTTGTACACCACCTGCCAAGGAACACCACAGAGCCAGTCCACGTGAACTGACCTTCATAAGGCTTTCCTTTCCCTGCTGCTTTTTGGCTAGTTTTCCAGTTGTGCACTGGCAAAGCATAAAGCTATGTCTAAGCAACGATCGTATCCAAGTTAAAACGCTTACTGAATTCTCTTCAGTCTTTGCACAATGACTGGATAGTAACTGAGAAGCCTGGGCTTCCAGACCTCTAGTTAGATCCTTACTGCAAATCTCAAGCAGTGATAAAAAACCACACAGTATCTGAGTCTGGAAATGCAATATTTATTAATACTAAAAACATTATTTTATACAGTAACTACATTGAAGCGATGGGGCTTGTGGATTTTTCAACAAATAGGCCCCTAATGAAAGGGTTCCGAGATTGTAATCCCAACAGATACGATGGCTCACAACTCACAGAGCATTATGCTGCCACTGGCTTACCGTTCATACGACCCTTCCCAAGGGACTGTGCCTCTGAAGTGGAATAGCATCCTTGCCTTATGTCAGATAAGCCACAGCAAAACAAAACATGCATAACAGTATCAGCACATGACATTGCTAGTAATAACCAGCAATAGCTATTATGGATAGACCATTTGGCTGATGTCTCTTGACCTGACGAAGGTGTGAAAACATAATATAATAATATAATATGCCTATCCCTCACTGGGGATGCTAATTTAAATGTCCCCTATCCTTTCTGCAGCCACTGATTTTCAGAGAACTTGTAACTGAGATCTCCGAGATCCCAGCTCAGCTGTCAAATGTGACTGAAATAGACAAATGCAAATACTGCCGGAGGATAAAGGGCGGTAAGAAAATTAGAGAGGAAAAAAATAATCTAAAATAATGACAAAAGATGTAACGAGCAACGCATGTTAAAAATACGGTAAGATGCACAGAAGTTAACAGGACTCCTATGGAAGCACAAACGCACTGGATACAGAACACATGTCCACTGGACAAAAGCTAAATAACGTCTTTTTTGGTTAACTAAATCAGCATCACAAAGCTGAGCTTACTAGCTAAACTGTTCTTTAAATATAATTTCCTTTGCAACACTTACGTTCTGTCTTTATCACCTTCAGTTGGCTCATTGTGAACTATTGAAATAAACTAAACTTTAATCCTGCAGACTGCTTCACGTCAGTGGAGACTCCCTGAAGCCGCTGCACAGAGCTCACGGGTCTACGAGAGGCAGCTTCACACTATCACAATCGGCTTCACATTGTCAGACTCACTTTCTGGCTTCCATAATGTAAATACTAATGGCAGAATTGTCTTGGACTGGAAGAAAAGAGTGTGCTAACACTAAACAGAATTTAAAAAGCCTTGTTTTCACAATACTGTAAAGCCATTCCCCCAATCCTCCTTTCTATCTGCCCTGTAAACAGTTTATTCCACACAAGTGAACTAGCAAAGTCCCTTTAGTAGCAAGCTTTACTTCATTATGTTAAGCAGACTTTCTGAATGCAAGCGCAATTCAAAATTACTATTTTCATTGATATACGCACGCGGGGAACCTCTCTGGTGCCTGAAACGCTGCCGGGCTGAGAACTGAAAGCGAAACCGACCCTCTTCCCCCGACAAACCGGGGAACCGCAAACACACTAACCACCCAGGAAGCGGCTTTTTAACGTTTGTTCTGTGCGGTGACAGTCGTCTCAAGCAGCAGCATGCATAAAGAAAGCCGCGGCTTAAAGCGCACCTTTAAATCGACCTCCGTCTGGCTACCGCCTGCGCTTGTCACCAGAGGCTTCGGAGGTCGCAGGGGCAGCGGGGCGCGGGCAGCGGCGA